TGTGTGTGTGTGTGTGTGTGTGTGTGTGTGTGTGTGTGTGTGTGTGTGTGTGTGTGTTTACATTTTCACAAAAAATTATCTTCTTTTTTTTTCTGAAGAAGTATTCGTTTGTTAATAAAAGACATACCAAAATAAAAGATATACGAAAAATTTTATACACTTGGTATATATCCAATATACTCTAAATCGCCTTTTGATGATTAGAGGAAAGACCATCGAGATACTCGTCAAGGTACTAATATAACTTTTATCTTAGAGCGAAAACATAAAAGGTGGAAAATGTTAACTTTGAATAACAAAAATTTTCATTTTTTACATTTTTGTCCCAAAAAAATTATATGATCGGTATCCCCGATCGATATTTTGATGAATATGGAAGATATTGATACGGAAGTGATGACGAATGTTTCAATTTGGTCTTTTTTAGCATCACATGCTTCTCTATTTTTGCCATCTAATATTTGGAGCAACAAAAAAAGAATATGATTTTACAAGCGTGTGAAATAATTAAATGAATTATTGTGAGCGATAATTGATTTCATTAATTAAAATGTTAAACATTGTATCAGTTTGATAAGGATCAATAACATTTACTTAATAGTTTCAGCTTTTTAAAATTCTTGATTTGTTTAAATCTTATTTTATAATTAAAATATGATGCAGACAATTTATATTAAAAATAGAAGCTAAATACTACATTCTTAGTGTCGTCTTGATTCTTTTTTATTTAAAGATAGCTGTACAACAATTATTATCATAATTATAGCAAATTTTAGTCATGAATTATTTTTTCCGTTCGGTTACCGTAAGTAATACTGAAAGATAACCGAGTGAAGTTCTCACAATCTGAAATAAAATGACATTTGACAGAAAGTTCAACATACTTACATAACATATGCAATAACTAATCCATAGAATCAATGAATCAATTACTTTATTGATTAAGAAATCAATCAAGTTCAATGATTGCTCAATCAATCCTTTGCAATGTTTGTAATGTTAGGAAAATATCATGATTAATTTATGAATGAATGGGTAAATCGATTGATCGATTGACTGATTTATTGATTTATCATAAATTGATTAATTTATTGATTGATTCATAAATTGATTCATTGACTTATTGAGTGATTCATCAATTGACTGATCGATCGATTAATAAATCTATTAATTTATGAATTAATCACGAATTTTTCTACGATATTGCAGATATGTCGGACAAAATAACTTGTAATTATTTATAAAATAATAATTATTTATATAATATTTTACCTTACTGAACATCTGTAAAGAAAATGTGCTGAATTTCCCAGCAGTTAAACAAAGAGGTGTTGTTGATTTATGTATGATAAGTAGGAGATTTCTGGCTTCTTTTCCTGATACATTAAACCAGTTCGACTCGTACGCAGAGAATCCTATCTCAGTACTCTTAAATGTCATTAATTAATATTTAATAATTAGTCTAAATTTATACAATAATTTTAATATATTATTATTTTCTATAGTAAATATATTTCTTCTCAATTTACTAGTCGATGAAAAAAGTAATATATTATTCTTTGAAGCAGTTATATTTTAATTTATAAGACGATAAAATAAAAAATGAAAGCTAATGATTAATAAATCATAAATAAGAAATTTATGAATCGAAAAATCAATTAGTTTTGATTTTTTTATCATCTTACAAATTGAAATATAACATATATTATATATGTAAGTTTAATATTTGCAATAAATAAAAATATAACATACATATATATGTATATTTAATATTTGCAATAAATTCTTATCCTACTATCTCAGCAAACAAACTCATATTATTTGTCGTCATTTTTATTCTTAGCGTCTTTAATGTCAAAATAACGTTAAAATAATGATAAATAATTTCAATTTGTTTGTTGATATGTTGTACAAAGAAATGAAGAGAAGCAATATGTAATGTACATTCAGAAGTATCAAAAAGGCAGATTATCGCTGTGTCGTAATATTCATTACTAACGTCATTAATAACGTTAGCAATGGATTACGACACAGCGATAACCTGCAAACCTTTTGACACTTCTGAAGAAAATATCCATGAAAGTACATTATGCACATATATTTATGCATCTTACTTGAACAAGCAGCATTTCACCGACGTAACAATAAATATACAAGTGAACTAGAATAAATCCTACGAAAATGATTAGAAAAATTAATTGAAAGGTCATCGATTCGTTTTCTTCTTCCTTTATTAATATCTAAAATGTTTCTGATTGTTATTACTTACATTTTCATATTTTCTGAATTATTGTGCTGCGCACAAATTTTTCCAATTAATTTTATACAAACAAACGTAATATTAACAAAATGTTAATATTATTTTTAATTGATTAGAAAGAAAATAAATGTATAAACAATATCTAATAAAATGCTGTTCTCTGAGTCACTCACCGTAAAAACCTGGAACCCTTGAAAGCATAATTGAACAGTACAAAAAAGTATCTGTATTAGCATCATCATATTGAAGGAATCCTCGAGTGTTTTTGCAAACCTTGATATATATGATTAGTATTTTCATTTTTATCGATTTATTGAATTATGATACGCTAAATAAATTATTTTGTAAATTACATTTGTATAAACAATTTCTTGTTATAGATTATATTACATTAGACAAAATATTATAAATTTTTTTAATAAAAGTTCTTTATTCGAACACAATGACATGGCAGATAATTATTTTTCAAGTTAAATTTCATTTTATTGAATTGATTTAAAAAAATTAAATTTGATTTTATTATGTGTATTCTATATAATTATGTGAATGGAGAAAAAAATTAGAAAAAATTTATTAAAGATTATTTAAATAATTGGCTTATTAGAGCAGTAAAATGAAACGAACGTAAAATTTCTAAATGAAATCTGCTAACATGTTAATAATCATTGTGACTAGCAAGATACTTCTTGCATTGTGAGTAATAAATCAATAAAAATAAAACCAGACAATGCCCATGGATACCCTATTCATAAAACTCTCGAAATTGTACATTACTAATTCGCAAACAGTCTTCTGCTGTTAAACCTAACGAAAATTTCCTGCTTTTCAGATTTTTTATTCGAATCTCTAGAGATGTGGAAATCGCATAAGGACTACAGTTGCTGGTGAAAAATACTGGAGCACCCGGTCTACAACTTGTCGCCATGCGATTTCCACATCTTTGGAGACCTGTATCTCGAGTCTTTAATTTTTAACAAAAGTATCGGTCTTTATATCGTTGCGCAGATATTATATATAGTGAAAAAGCAGTCCAACGACAACGATATGAAACTGTCGTTTGAAGTTACAGAATCGAGTACTGAAGAATCTGAAATTTCCATCGGACGCATGGATCGAGACTGTTTGTTTCGAGCTCAAGAAATTTTACAAGCCTCGTCTCACATAGAAGAAGTGTTTTGCCAACTATGGTAATTGTTAATTATTACTTCAGTTCAATATCTAAATTTTTTATCCGCTACATTTTATTTGACTGCTCTAATAACTTTAATATTAAACAATTATTTACTGCAGTGATATAAAGAAATGTATTTTTATACGTAAACTTATTTCATATGAGGCAATCTTATGTTCTTTAGCAAATGAATAAAAGTTTTTCTTTCCATGAATTATACAAACCAGTTTAAATGTTCATGTCTCATTACAATTTGTCTCAGTTCATTCTTGAACTTTTGAGACGTTTTTATTCCGTTCGGATCGTTAATGAGATTTTTGAGTCTCTCGCGCAAGTTTTCGAATTGGCCGCAGACGTGGAGTACTAACATGGAAATGAAACTGTCGCTACCGGTATAAGAAACCGTTGCGCTATAAGCAGATAGCATCTGGCATACGCAAATCAGTTCAAAAATTGGACTTCTAGTAATATCGAAAGGAAAATAAGCCGTATAAAGCATGGGACGAGCCGGATCACTAGATGAAAATCTGATGATCGTCGAGATTCTTAGAACGATATAAATTGTTACCATGGTCTGCGTTAATATTGTGCACCATATGGATATCTTTCTCACAAGTTTGGCATTTTTCAGCATAATTGTTCTTTCTTCAAATGTTTTTGGCGTATGCCAATCTTGGTAGAAGAAGTTGACCAACAACTTTAAAACTTTAAACAAATATTGCATATAATATTGTATATATTTTTTAATGAACATTTTATGTAAACAAGTCTATTTTATAATTTTATCACTACCCAAGCAGAACAACAAGTCATTATGGTATCAAAATGATG